ATTCATAAGTAAGATAATCAAAATTAGTAACTTACCCTAGAGTAATGTTGATAGTAAGGTTTTCGGTATTGAAACTGCTATATGCAAGAGTTGACTTAAAATGTTTGGTGCTTTTAAATGTTATCAACTACAGAGTGGAAAACTACTTGAGACAGCTGAGGATTGACACACACTGTTGTTATTTATACCAGATACTGACTAAAGGTGAAATGAAGACCTAGGCTGCGTTTCACTGATAGACATGACAGTCTTGTGAAAAAATGCTCAATGACTGAAGTAGAGCTAAGATCAAATCAAAAACTGGGTCTCCTAGCTAAGTTGGCAGATTGTTGAGCCGCCAACCCGGAGACTAATGACTCGAATACTATGGTGAACTAGGTTTTCATTTCACCTCCAGTCATCCATCACACAGTAATTTGAACGACACCATGCAACCACCTCCATTTCATTCGTAAAAAATATTGCTAGAGTTTTTACTCAAACTCAATAAAGTCATTTTCATGCTTCAATCCATTCATGAAAACTGGAGGCTTGTGGGTATTGATTTATTAATTTCAGGTTGATATTCATCACGGACTGACATCAGTTTGAGAATCATTGGAAATTTGAAGGAGCACTTGACAGCAGTTTCATCCTAGTATGGGACTACTTAGCAGTACACACGCATTACCCCGCCAGGGATGAATGTCCCACTGTATCGTGAATTGATAGAAGTAGGAAATATGGACCAGTGAGTTCCGACTCAGAGGCCCAATAGGAACACGGTGGCCACGAACCTGGTTCTGGGTTCGATCCCTGGCAAGGCCATGGATGTACACTTCTGAGGAGTCCCATACCACGACAAAAAGCTGTTCATTGTTCTCAGGTCCCTAATGATTCACCAACTGATGTCAGTCCACGATTAATATCAACCTGAAATCAATTTATGAGAGTATAAACGTGCTTACAAGTCGCTTGTCAGATAGGCAACTAGTTTCCTAATGTTCTCTTTCTTACCATAATGACAGAATTTTGTCGATCACACTCTCTGTGAAGTTATTGAATTAAAGGATTCAGATTGCTCTGGAAAATATTCAGTTTTAATGGTTATTTATGAAGAACTCTGAACTTGTTACATCTGATTTAGTCCAACTGGAAAAAGGAATATACTGGGAGATTATTTCTGCTGGATTTGCTAATAAACTGTGCTAATGAGTATTAAACAGAGTTGAGGCTTTCATCTCTTCAACAACAAACCAATTGATTGATATTGGTTTGTGGTTAAAAAAAGCAGAAGTCCTAAATGACATAAAACTGTTGAAATGCGGGAAACCAGCAGGGCCAGATGGGATTCCGCCAGAAACACTGAAGACACGCAGAGACAACAGCGGATATGCTCACACCACTACTGAAGAAGGTTTGCAAGGAAGGAAGGAAAGGTATTTACCAACTGATTGGAAGAAGGGCTATCTTTTCAAACTACCGAAGAAGGGAGACCTAAGCCTTTGCAAGAACTGGCGCGGGATCATGCTCCACCCATGTCCACCCAAAGCAGGCAAAATATTATGCCACATCATCCTGGAGAAACTAAACAATGCTCTGGATTCAAAATTATGACCGGAACAGGCTGGCTTCAGGAAAAACAAATCATGTGTTAATTAAACTGCAACACTACGCACCATAATCGAACAGAGTATAGAATGGCACTCAACTCTCTACATCAACTTCATCCACTTTGAAAGGCCTTCGATAGAGTCAGTCGAGGAGTAATTTGTCAGCTACTATAACATTACGGTTCTAGTGCCACAAACGTTTATCAATCTCATTCAACAGCAGCTATATGCTATACGATACTGCATATCAAGTGATTCACACAGCAATGGAAAGCTCAGTGATGCCTTTGAAGTGAAGACAGGTGTGAGACAAGGCTGCCGCCTATTATCACCAATGTACTTCTTGATTGTGGTCGACTGGATAATGCAGCAAACAGTGAGGAGAGAGAAGATGGACATATGCTGTTTGACCAACGAAAAACCCAAGAAAAAGATTTGGATTTCACCGATGATGACTTATGTCTAATGTCTTGTCGCTCAAGCTCGAAGATGCACAGGCAAAAACTAACAAGTGACAGAAGAAGCGAGGTAGCGAAGATGGGACTTCAGGTGAACGTAAAGAAGACAGAAGTAATGAAGATACTCAACTAACAACATCAACAACAAACATCAATCACCATCAACGGGAGAAATCTAAGGGAAGTAGTCACTTTCACCTACCTAGGCAAGGCAGCATCCTTTCAACTACAGGCGGCACAGGCACACATGAAAATGTCAAAACCAGGATCGGAAATACTGCAAGACAGGCTTTCACTAGTCTGAAATCAGTGTGGAGATCTACTGCACTCAGCACAAAGAACAAGATACGCATTTTCAACACATACGTCAAACCAGTGCTGCTATATGGTTCAGGAACTTGGCGCGTCATGAAAACCACTTCCAACAAACTACAGACATTCATCAACAGCTGACGCTTACGCTCACTCGATACTGAAGATCAGATGGCCACAAAGAATAAACAACAAGGAACTCTGGCAACTGATCAACAAGAACCCATCGCCCAACAAATATGCAGAAGAAAGTGGAGATGAATGGGGCATACGCTAAGAAGGCCAACTGAGGACATCACGCGCCTAGCAAGGTGCTCGAGTGAAGCCCAGATGGGAAACGACGAGTTGGGCGTCCCAGCCGAGGGTGACATGGAAGAGATCATGTGAGGAAGAAATGAAAACTTGTGGGCAGTCGTGGTGACAAGTTGAAAAAACTGTAGAGAACAGAGTTCAATGAAGGCGTACTACTGAAGCCCTATTTTCCACAAGGAACCCAAGGGATAAATAATAATAATATAATATGTGTAGTTAACATGATAAAAATTATACAAGTCAGTCATATAATCAAATATATTAATGGGTTAGTGTTCACTGTAGGGAAATTCCAAACTAAAGTTGAAAAAGTCATTCAGGGCTTTTAGGAACTTTGAACGATTATCTAAACAACCTTGAAATCAGTCGATTCTTAACAAACTAATCATTAGTAACAAAATACTCTTGAGGATTTAAAAATTGTATATCTATCGTAGAATGACTCATGCTAACTTCTTACTGTATATTCGTTTTGCGGTTTTGCAAGACTCACTAACTTCAAGGTTATATTTAAAGAAGCAAAAGACAGGTATGCAGGAAACAAATGTTTATTGCCAACGAGTGGAACAGTAGTCCTTAAATATGGTACAACTTACACTAAAACCATCATTTGAAAAATATGCTTCATTTCCTCTTCTGCTTCCTTCTTGATTTGCTCTTCACACGCCTGCCTTGTCTCTTGTGTTCCTCTTCTCGGAATCCTTACCCATTGCCGGTAATTCCCTATGATTTCTGTCACCCTCTCAACATATACTACTTAGATCCATTCTCATCAGCAACTCACACTACACTCATTCCACCCTTAAAATTTAGGGCTTGCAACCGTATTGATCGCCTTGGTGCTGTTTCCTCTTGGTGTTCGTTCACTGCTTCGTCTTCTTCCATTCTTGAAGTGGGCTGGCGTTTACTCTTTTCTCTTTGTCCCTTTTTTGATGGGATAAGCTGAACTGCGTCTCTCGGTAATGATGCATGATCCTTCTCACTTCGGTAGTAGTTTCCTTCTACCATATCCACCTCCTGACGTATATTCTCCTTCTTTACATTTCACCTGATCTTCGACCTCAAACAGATTCCATCTACTTCCTTCTATCTGTTCAGATTTTTCAGCATCAGCTTTCTGTTTGCGTCCCACATTTCTGATTGCCTGTTTCCGCTCATTTCTCAATCTAGTCACGTTCCACGGCTGTTGTTGGGAACAGGTCTTACTATGTAGTGGGAGCCCTGGTTTCCTGCCTTACATCAATTGGAACGACGACTTCTTGGTCATTCCTTGTACCGGGGCACGATGAACTAATGATATTCACGGCAGTTCTGTCTCCCAATTTCCTCCTTTCGAAGCCAGCCACTCCTTAAGTGTACAGTTATTCCATTCTATTAGGCCGTTAGTCTGCGGGTGGTACGGCGTCGTTCTTATCCTCTTGATATCAAGCTGCTCCAAACAGGACCTTGGTCGGTCAACATCATTTTCGGCACACCGTGATCTGCGACAATATGCCGCATCACCGTTGTGGTCACTGGCTTCGCGCGTTAATCCGGAATTGCGACAGCCTCTATCCATCGTGTAGCATGCTCCACCATCACCAACAGGTATTGGTTGCCACTAGATGTTTGCGGAAATGGTCCCATTATGTCCACAGGCCACAGGTCACCAACTGCCTCCACTGGAATCGACTGAAGCGGCGGCCGAACATACCGATCACCTTTCATCAGCTGACAATGAGGACAACCCAGCACATGTTTGGCAACATCTCCTCTTATACCTGGCCAGTATGAACTTTGTCTGAGAAGAACAGCTGTCCGTGAGACATCTGTGTGAGCTAACTGGTGGCATTCTTGTATCATTTTGTCGCGTAGACATTTCGGAATCACTGCCAACAAGCTCCCGTCGTTTTCTCGCCACGTCAACATTCCATAAGTATTCATCTGTAGGCGTTCTTTCTGCATCAACAACTTTGTAAACTTTTTATTTTCCATCCATCCATCCATCCAGATCAACCTAGGACCAGGCATTACTGAGTAACGGTCCGAGTTGCCACAGCTCATATCAGTACATCAAGTAAAAAGGCAGTCAGGTGCAAGATGAAGATAAGAGAATGCAGTCAAAAGAAATATAAAGTACGAAAAGAGAGAAACGAAGAATAACAAAATGGTGAGATTCGGTATAGCAGCGTTAAAATGAGGATAATGTATGCATACATCTGAGCCACTGACATCGGTCTTCATATCCCCTAGAGTCTCCAACCACTGGTTCCTCATGACCTGCGGAACCCAACCACCCAGTCTGCATCAACCCACATGGCTCAAACCAACAGTCAGAGACTTCATACATTGGTGCCATGTTTTAGTCTGGCCATCTCAGCCAACATTGTGTGACGAGGCAATCGGTGACTAGACATACGTAATACGTGTCTCGACCATCTCAGTCGATGAAGGTTCATAACCTCATAAACCGACTTACCTCTTCTCCTTAAAACTCTACTCCTGACTTTTGCATTACTCACGTGGTGACACCATGGAAGACTGGTTCGCCTTCTTTCCTTCAGTTATGGCTTTTATCACAGCATTCAGAATTGGATCCGACTTCTGAAGGTGAATAAGTCTTAATGGGTCCCGTTCCACTGCACGTACACCGTATGCGGTCTCAGGTAGTTCATTTTCTTCGTCTGATCTTGATAGGAAGTCTGCCAACCAGTTTTCTTTCCCTTCCACGTGACCGATTGTGAAATCGTACTCTTGCAGTCGTAACATCCAACGTGATAATTTTCCTCTGAGGTCTCTCCTTGTCTTAAGCCACTGTAGGGATTTGTGCTCAGTTTCAATATGGAATCGTTGACCAAGGAGGTACATCTCCATTTATCCAACCCCCAAAATATCGCGAGACATTCCTTTTCAACTGTGGAATATTTCTGTTCTGCAGATGTCAGGACACGCTTCGCATAATCCACTACTCCTTCAGTCTGTCGAAGAACTGCGCCTATTCCATAATCACTAGCATCAGTGGGCACGATGAATGGCTCTCCGGTTATTGGTAGTTTTAAAGTCTTTTCCTGGTGATTCAGGAGTTCCGTGATGTGAACAAACGTTTTCCATGCCTCCTCCGTCCACATAAAGTTTGGGTTGCCAAGTAACTTACATAAAGGTGCTGCTATCTCATTGGACTTTCTGAGGAACCGACTGAAGAATTCTGCTCTACCCAAGAACTGTCGCAGTTTCCTCTTGGAATTCGGCACTGACATGGTTTTAACTGTCAGAATTTTCTCAGGCAGTGGTTTCATTTCACCCTTTCCAACTTTATGTCCTAGCAACGTCACACTCTTCGTGGATACCTTAGATTTTGTCTTAGTCATGAGAAGTCCAAACTCGCCAATGCGTCTTAAAACAGCTTCCATGTGTTCTAAATGTTCTGCTTCCGTCCGACTGTACACCACCAGGTCGCCACCATACACCTCTACGTTCCCTAAATTCTTCAGCAACATCATCAACCGCCTAAGTGTGACTGGTGGGCCTGTAAGACCAAATGGTATTTGTCTGAAATGATATTGCTTCTTGCCCACAACAAATGCTGTTTTCTCGCTTTCTTTTATTGGTAGCTGCCAGTAGCCTGATCGCAGGTCTAAAACTGAATATGTTTGCATTCTGCAGACTATCCAGTGTTTCAGGTACCGTTGGCATGGCACATGGCTTCAGTTGTGTTATGCTATTTAACTGTTGGAAATCAATGCAGAACCTATATTTCCCATTTGACTTTCTTACCAAAAGCACTGGCGAACCGTATGGGCTATCAGCCTCTTCAGCAATACCTTCGTTTGGCATTTCCCAAACTTGGCGCCCAACTTCTTCTTCCAAGTGATATGGTATTCGCCGTGTTATAAATGTTGTCATTGCTTGATCTATCACTGGGATTTCATGCTGAACCTTGTCACAGTATTCCTAGGGGTCTCTATCTCCCGTGAGTAATGTGTCATATTTCTTAACCAACTTCATGATGTTTGGCGCTTCTGGGTATGGTGCTCTTGATACCTTAATCTCTGCTACCTCACTGTTTTCCTGTGTGGTGAACGACCCATACTTCGTCGCCACTATTCCTGTTCTAGTGTCATTTATTCACATTCTAGCATACACAGCACCCCTATCTATGGCTCCTTCAATATCCAGTCTAGTTGGAAAAAAAGAACTCATATTATATCGTTCAAAACGGTTTCTTTTTCTCCTCTCCGGACAATTTCTTCTCCAGTGTCCAGGTTTTCCGCATGCAAAGTATTTACCCTGTCTGTTGATGTTCATTTGAGGTCCAGCTATCTCTTCCTGAAGGTTGTCGTTATGTTTTTTCCAGTTATTTACCTCTGGTGACTCCACTGCAGCTACTGCTGTACCCATCAACTGTCTGGTTACCTTGGCCATCTCACTAATGTCAATGGGTTGGGCTGTGTTGACTAGTCGTAGCTGCTGGGCGATGGCATTCGGGACACTTTCGGTGAACTGTGCAGCCGGCAACTGCTCCTGCGACTCCTCATTCAACGTGGGAACTGCTTGTCGAAGTAGTTTATTCAGCTTCAGCTCTCACTCTACTCCTCAGCAACGTGCCGAATACTACTGCATCGCTCCTGGATACCAGACACCCACCAGCTCCGTGACCGACTCGAAGTCCCTGAAGAAGACCTTGATGTCTCTATCCTCGAACTCTGCAGGCCACAGATTCTTCATCACGTCCAAAAGCAGCGACACCATTTGAAAGAAGCAAAAGACAGGTATGCAGGAAACAAATGTTTATTGCCAACGAGTGGAACAGTAGTCCTTAAATATGGTACAACTTACACTAAAACCATCATTTGAAAAATATGCTTCATTTCCTCTTCTGCTTCCTTCTTGATTTGCTCTTCACACGCCTGCCTTGTCTCTTGTGTTCCTCTTCTCGGAATCCTTACCCATTGCCGGTAATTCCCTATGATTTCTGTCACCCTCTCAACATATACTACTTAGATCCATTCTCATCAGCGACACCCACTACAATATGAGAAGTGATTTTTAGTTTTATTTATTTGTATTAAGTTAGGAACAAGTAATCGTTACATGACTTGTAAGCAATACAAGATATAAATTCCATAGGATAAAGAAGAATCGGAATATGTTATTCAGACTTATAATATTTTGATTTATTGTTACATACAATTTTCCATAAGATAATATGCAGCTTGCTTATCAAGTCTGATTTTTAGAAACACTAAGTTAACTGAATCACTTTCTTCATTTGAGGCAGTGACACTTTAAACTAGTTACATCTACGTACCTTTTAAGTGCGTTTTGGTGTGCCTAATGTCTCACGTGATTCCCTTCCATACTTTTTATCCCTTAGATTGGGCATATCCTATCATTGGAATCAGCGTCTTACGTTGTTAGCGGAATATCAACAAAAGGCATTGGATATATATATATATATATATATATATATATATATATATATATATATATAAAGTCTGAAGACGATCTAATTGGAAATAATACTATTCTCTTATATGTTTTATTGTAAGATTCTTAAATGATATCTCTGCCTTTAAGTGACTGTCATTAGAATTCCTTCCCTGTTACAAACTGGTTTAAAGAGATCCGTAATCAACAATTTTCTGAAAAATTCACCACTAAGCATCTGCGTGGGAAGCTGTTTTTAATAAAGTATCTGCAACTGATCAGCAAAAAATGACCGTTTCAATCTAAAATAAGAAAAACCTTGTAAACGAAGCAATATTGAAAGAACGTTGAGTCAGGAAGACTGAAGTTTCAACCTAATTAATGCTCAACTACATTACATTTCAGGATAGCTAGTTTAAAAGGTTTACAAGATCTTGCATTTCATTGGTGTCTTCGTCAACTAAAAACAAAATGCTGAGCCAAGAATGGAGGTGAAATTAACACCTTGGTAGCAGTAGGATTCGAAACAACAGCTTTGTGGTTGTCAGTCATGAGCTTCAACAACTGATAAGTTTACTGCTCACTTCAATCATTGAGGGTTTTGATCTACTGTCATGTGAATGGTTGGTATGTAACTGTCTGTTCATTATGATCGCACTAGCTACCCAGTCAAAACTCATCCCAATCCAAATTAAGCTGAATTAGAGGAGGGAGGAATGTCGAATACCTTGTAACCAGTCTGACAAACCGTGGCTATCTAAAACAGCCTCAATCAAAAGCATAACAACTATAGGACCAAGATATCTTCATCACCTACCGACCATACGATTAATTATTTTGGTGAGTTTACTGCAGATGACGGAATGAGTTCAAGTGGGAAATATGCATCTAATACGGATGCACATTTTATAGCGAATGCTTTTAATTAAAAATATTCCTAAAGTTACATTATTATGTAACCCAAATGAGTTGGAAGGCAAAGAATACAGAATGTACAATAATCAGTAGGAAAGAAGCAGAATGAAACAGTTTTAATGTAAATCCTTGATATTTATTATGTGACCTCAGTTATGCATGTTCGCCTACATCAAACTCATACAAGTTATGTATGATTAACTTTAATAAGAATCATTGTTACGTCAACTTGCTGATTCAGTTTAACAGTCTGAGGGAAAACTGTTGAATGTAAGACATATTTCTCATGGACAAATTTCAGTTGACGGGACCAATGAACAGCAAACAATTTTGAGTACATGTTTATTGCTAACTTTATTCAGCCTCGTAGTGCTTATTCTTAACACCTCTTTCAGTCAAAACTGATTAGTAAATGTCGTAAAAGAAGTTTCTGTTGCCTTAATCCGGTTAAATTACAAAAATCTTCACTTATTTCTAGGTATCACCAGATCGATTTCTAGCGTCATTCGTTAGAACCATTCCCCATTCTAGGCTTTGTTAGTCTCTCCAGTAGCAGTCTATCACATGCCTGATTTGAAATATTTAAGCTGGCGTATGCATAGTGTGAAATAAAGGTGCTAAATCCGATAGTGGTAAAGGTGAACAAGCTATATACAAACTGCAGACAGTTTCGTGCTCCAGAACACACATCGTATTGAGAACAAACGTCAGTAGGTGAAGCTGGGAATAATCAACGTTGTGACCCAATGATATGTACTCGAAAAGTCAAAGTAATAACCACAACTCCCTGCATTTATGTAACTATATTTAAGGAGATACGCAAAGGCATAATATACTTATTTTCATGATAACATCCTGACCCTTAGAGATCAACTGCAAAGAGAATACATCGAAAAAATATCATATTCATCCTCAGCATAAAACATATTCGAATGGCGAACAAAGTGTATTGGAAATGTCATACAGTTAGTTCCCTCGACAAATATGAACAGTGCAAGACTAAAGAGATTTACAAGTACATAGGAAGGACCAAAAGAAAGGTGTCTAATCGATTATATAAGCATATTCTGATAGGTAGCAATGTCTTTACCAGCGCAAACACCAGGTACCCGATGGAAACAAGACATCAAATAGATGTTTCTCAGTCCTTCAGGATAGTCAATCAACAAAGAACGTCATCTTTATTACTGTATGTGGAAGCCCTCACCACCGAACATTTTCAACCTCACCTATGTACTCAGAAGGAAGCTGTAATTAACCTTTCTTTATCTTGGTAACTGTAGATAATTTTTTGCATATGTATATTTATATATAGTTTTTTTTTTGACTGCGTCATCTTTATTAATTACTTACTGACTGTTAGCCACTAAATCTAACATTTTTCCACTTAACTGCGTTACATACTGGCTCTTTAACAACCCTATCTGTTTGTTGCTCTCCACTCTCCACAGCTCCAGAATTTCCTATCTCATCAGATGTAAATTGCCATTGATTTTGACGGTTTGCGACCATTAATCCAGCGTTTCCTTGACTCACTATTTTTAATCCTAAATTTCAGATCTCTATTTATTTCCACTTATTTAAAGTATACTATGCCATTATTACTACTAATGCTTCAATTCAATTGTAGGGTATTTGCAGCTGATGAAAGGTCATGAAATAAAATGAGCTCATTTTATTCTGCAAATTTCTGTTTTTCCATTGTTCAAAGTGTATTAGTTTGAAATTATAAAAAACATTATGAAAATTCACTGTTTTTACTTTTGTTATATTATTTCAACTGGAAATTTAAAGCTATCAAAATGAAAAATGAATATGTTATAGCGAATTATCCCCAAGTCGACCTGGAACTAAACACTTTACTAATGTATGCATGAATAGTCGGTTAACAGACCACTAACTAAATGTAATTGACCTCATTTTTGCAGTATAAATAAATACTCCCATGGTTCTAAAATAATGTTATCAATGATACTAAAAGCATGATTTTTTTAATGGACTCTCATTTTTCACTGATCAGTCATTCGCTTAGATTACATGTCTTATAATCTTGTTTCTTAAAACGTATATAGAGTGTGTACACTGTGTATGTTTTCTTACTCGCGTACATATACATCTGACTTCATATAAGTCCTCTTGTTTTTCAAGTTAT